GGCAGTGACAACGTCAAGTGGTATTAGTTCCATCTATGGAAATAGTATGAAAATAAGTGTAGTAGTCTAAGCTTCGTTATAAAATTGCTAAAAACACTCTTACTCTTAATTTCCGCTTTTCATGCAATTTACTTTTAAAGTTTTTACGTCATTGCCTGAGTGTGAGTGCATTCAAATAATAACTACAAAAAAATGTTGAATACATTTTCCTGCTTATACATGAAACCTGCGATAGAGGTTAACGCGTGCATTTTCATATATAATTGCACATAGGCTTATATATATATATATGTATGTATGAGTATATCTATATACAGATACATATATATTATAGCTATATGTATCGAGCAGGGCATAATATAACAATTCGAACAGGCGTACAGGTCTATTATGTAATGGCTTTCATACATACTTCCAATACCATTTCGTATGTAATATGCATAAGGCCCACCGTAATTCTACGATAGTCTAACTGGTAGCATATGTTAATATTCCCTTCTTTGCATTTGCGATAATATACACATAAGTTTGCCATTCCTTTCGCAATAACCATAAAAATGTAATGAAGATTTCACAAAATGTGTGCATTATGTAAGTAGTACATAAAGTATTGAACTTGGAGAAATTTTTCTTCAAGATACATAATTGGCATTCTATCTATTATTAGAGTCATTTGAAAGATTTGATATATATAGGAACTTGTCATTGAAGTTCGTTTGTCATCAATCCTCCACACAGAAGTGTAATAATGAAAACAAGTGAGAGAGTTATAATCGAAAGGGGCCTAGTCTAGCATACCCGCCACCATTAATATCTTTCACGCTCCTTGCTTTCATTTCATAAAAAAGTGAATGGAATAAAATTTATCTTTCATCTTTTACTTCACTAAAAGGTATTGTTAAGAAAATTTGGTCTACCACGTTGTGACGTGACCAAAAATTTAGAATTAACACAGGTAACTTGTTGCATTATACTTTGCAAGCCCTTTTATTCGATGTCCACACGGACAAAATTTATCCAGCATATCGTGGCGTCCATCACAATTACTTAATTAATTAGGATTAACACTGTTACCTTATTACAGTTTACTTTTCAAGAATTAACACACTCGCCTTATCGCCTATTAGGTCCTTTCATTTGATGCCCATATCGCTGGTATTATTAAGAAAAATTTACCCACCAGGTCTTGATGTCCACCGGCGGGAACGGCGGATTTTTTCTCTTTTTGCACGTAAAGGGTGGAGTGTTTCGTAAAGTAAGCGTGACAAAAATCCGCAAATTTTTGTTTAGAAAAACAGAGTTGCGTTCAGTTTACGCTTCAATGTTGGCTTATGTTCGGACCAATTTGGCCAATTTTCAATACCAACTTATATGCTAACTCTTCCAATGTTTCAAGCAAATTTGAAATAGATTTTTTTCATTTTTGCGACCAGGAGAGTGTCAACAACACACACCACACGAACAGATACAGACGGATAGACGTGGCTTAATCAATTCAGAATTTGATGATATATATTCGTATACACATTACAGGGCATCTGAAGCTTGCTTTCGGATGTTGCGAACATTATGACAAAATGAGTATACCCATCATCCTTCATTGACGGGTATAATAAAAAGAATTAGAACCGAAATTGAAAAAAAATTTTCATACTGATGCGTACATTATTACGAATATGAAAAAATTATTTGTACACATGTTAAACCAATAGCTTAGTTACTCATCTAAGTGTACATGAGTGCACTGCTGAGCCGAACAGAAGCACTGGTAAGAATAAGTGCTGAGGTAGAAGGGGTTTATTTCAATTTTATAACTTAAATTTAGAAGGGCTTCAATATATGAAGCAAACAAGTAGCCTGGATAGCCAGCTGAGCATAATGAGATATATTGCTGAGTTTAAAAAAATCGTTTCACAATTCTGTTTGTATTATTGTTCTTACCAATAAAGACTCGATTTCACGTTACAACCTAAGGAAACCAATAACATAACTGTTTTACAAAAAGAATTACTCTCAAAATTGAAAGCAACTCTTAACGAATAATGGGATGTGCAAAAGTTCATCTAATGTGACATGACGACAGTTCCTGTACACTAATTGTATTACCCGCTCTTTTCTCCTCCATTAAAGCCATACTAAATTTTCTTCTTTTTCACTCCTTTCTAAATAATTTAGCACTTTTTCCCTATTGAAAGAGATGAAATGGTTCCAGTGTTTTCCAGTGTGAGATGTGCCCAATGACGCATGGCGTAACTCGAAGCTTAAGCACTAGGTTGCTCAGCGATTAGAAAAACTCCTATTATTTAAAGGACCGTTCTATCCCTGAGTGAGAAGAATAAGATTGTGGGTATAGTTCATTTCCTCTTATCTGACCAAGACGAAGTATATGTATAAGTAACATATTTATTACTTCCATGATTTCTCCCTAAATGACCGCCCCACCCTGCCAGAACAGAACGAAATTAAAAGAAAGACAACAGCTGCCCGTAAATAAACTGAAATCTGTGGTATTCAAATTTATTTTCTAGAAACGTAACTAATCAGGCCACGCTCACCCCCGT